CCCGGGCTCGGGAACCCTCCCGCCTCGGCCTCCAGGCTAGCCTGGACCGCAGGTGCGGGCCACCCCACCCGGCTTGTCTTCGCGTTTTTTGTAGAGACGGGTCTTGCTATGCTGCCCCGTCTAATCTCGAAGTCCTGGCCTCGAGCGATCCTCCCGCCTCGGCCTCCTCGGTGGCTGGGACTACAGGCGCGGGCTAAACATCTGGAGCGCTGGCCCCATGCCTGCACGGGTAAAAAATGCAAACTGGGTCATCTTCACCGCCCCCCAGGGAGGTGGGTGTGGCTTTTTCCCCGGTTCCCGTGAGAAAACCGAAGCCAGAGGAGGCTGTGACTTTTATCAGCGGGCCTCTGGTGTCTGAATTCCGATCGCGGGGCTTCCTGCTTCTGGGAGCGCGGCGGCTCCTGGGGACTCCGGGGCCTCGCCCAGGGGTCTTGCCCAAGGCGGCGCGGCCTCTCCTCCACTTCGGCGCAGGTGATCCTTCCGCCTCCGCCTTCCACGTCGCTGGAACCACAGGCAGGTGCCACCATGCCCGGCTCATTTTTTGATTTATTGTAGAGAGGCGGTCTCGCCAAATTGTCCAGGCTGATCTCGAACCCATGGGCTCAGGCAGTCTTTTTGCCTTGGCCTCCCAAAGTGTCAGGATGCTGTTTTGGGGGGGTTTTTTTGAGCCAGAGTCTCACTGTCACCCAGGCTGGAGTGCAGTGGCAGGCTCACAGCCACCACAGCCTCAGCCTGCTGGGCTCAGGCAGTCCTTCCACCTCAGCCTTCCGAGTAGCTGGAACCACAGGCACGTGCCACCACGCCTGGCTAACTTTTTTTTTTAATTGTAGAGACAAGGTTTTGCCATGCTGCTCAGGCTGGTCTCGAACCTGTGAGCTTAGGCAATGCTCTCGCCTTGGCCTCCCAAAGTGTTGGGATGACAGGCGTGAGCCACTGTGCCTGGCACGCCTCGCTTTGATCTTTACTGGTCTAGAGCGTTCTCTGCTCCCATCAGTGTGGAACCAGGCTCCTTCCAGCTCCTCTCCTGCTTTGCTGTGTACGTGCGACGTGCGCAAAGCCTTCCCCAGGCGCACCTCATGCTTCCATGACTCAGGAAACAGGAAACAAAGAACTGACTACCTCGTGTTCTCACTCAAAAGGGGACCCCGAGCATCTACCATAAAACTATAGGAAAGGGCTTGGCAGTAGCAGGCCACTGCCAGGGGTGGGAGGATGGTACAGAACACCCATAAGGGCGCCCAGTCTCAAACCAGGTGAAGTGGGGACCAAAGGGAGGCCAAGCTTCACCTGTACAATGACCACTTCTGTGCCGAACCCTGGATCGCGCCCCACATCTCCAAATTAAAATCCTACGCATTCTTCACAGTCTGGTTCAGGCAGGATTGGGGGTGACAAAGGACGGGAACTTTTTTCCCCTCCAGTTAGGGTCTCACTCTGCTGCCCAGGCTAGAATGCAGTGGTGGAATCATAGCTCACCGTAGCTCCAAACTCGTGGGCTCAGGTGATCCTTCTGCCTCAGCCACCCGAGTAAGCTGGGACTGCAGGTGTAAGCCACCACACCCGGCCTAAGACAGAAGCCTTTAAGGTAACGAAGGTCAAGTGCTCTCATGTGTTAATATGCAGAACACAATTCATGGAGTCTTGGTATAAAGCAAAGAAATCATTTGCTTAGTTCTTGGTTCAGTTCTCTTTCCACTAACATTCGTTAAGCTGAAATGCTTTGTACGTCTCCCCACACAGTCCAGAATTCACACAGATTGTACTTTATGTAAAAATTTATTTGACCAAAATGTAGAAAAAGTGATACTATTACATATGATACAGTTGCAAGAATCTAAAGAAAAGTGTAGATTTTATGTGTGTGCCCAATTTGCTAGTGTATTTCCCGGGTAGTGTGATGCTTAATAAATAGGAGTGGGGGCAGGGATTTTTAGACAGAATTGTAAACTTGAGTTGGCTCCCACACTGCTGGGGAATGCGGAATGTTTCAGCTGAGATGTTAACTGAGAAAACAATGATAACACAGCCAAAACGTGCGGCCCTGCCTACAAAATACTCCATATCCAGTTTAAGCAGGAGTTTCTTGGTCTTTTATTAACTTGGTCCTGAAGAAGGAATTCAAGTCCTAGATAAGTAAATCTTTAATTTGCAATGTCCCCGAAGTATGAAAATAAAGCAATGCCAACTTTGAATGTCTCCTGCCAGAGAGGACTTTTCTGCTAATAGACAACACTGTTTTGTTCAATGCACCAATAGAGAGCAGTCTTTTTGATATGGCTGACCTGAATAGGACTGGACTCCACCATATTCCTAGTGGAGTGGATGGCCTGTATCAGAGCGGACTTGGGTCCTTATTGGAGTAAGACACTTGTTCCTCCGAGAACAATTTTAGAATGAAAGAAATATGTAGAAAAGAGAAACATTAAGGATCTACCCAGAAAATACCTGGGTGATTATTATGGCTATTTCCCAAGCCTTCTCACGCTGCTCAAGAGGATGTTTGTTCTGCATGGCAGAGAAGGGCCAGAATACAGGACCATCAGGTCAGCCTATCTGTGGTCTGTGGTTACCCATAATAGACTCCCCCTGCCATCTGATGGTCCCTACCTCCTGGAGTTTGACCAGCAGTGATCCCAAAGGTTATATTTTAAAGCGTGTTCAACTGAGCCCTGACTAGATCTCTGGAGTCTGTGTTCCTCCAAGTGTGCAGGGGTCTATTCTAGCAACCAAATACCCTCAGTCTTAAGAGAGCCGCTCACTGTGAAATACCCTGCCTACCTTAGAAATCAATGCAACTTAAGGAAGAAAATAGAGCTGAAAAAGCTGGTGCCATTTGAAAAAAGGAAGAAATTCGATTTAACTGGTGCTCAAAGCTTCTTGGATACAAAATATGTGGTCATGGATTCATAATTTGCTTGACATTTCCAGCAAAGCAAAGATGCAATAACAAAAGAAACTTCTTACAAGAGAAGAGAAAGACACGGCGCTCTGGAGTTTCTGTGGAGCGAGACTCTTCTGTTTTGGTTATATACAGTTAAGTTCATTTAGTGTCTGATCCAGTGTTTGATGTAAGCCCACATTCTCTTCTTTGGCCTGGGCAAGTTTTTCTGGTGAAGATTAAGAATGGGGGAAAAAACAAATCAATAAGCATCTTTGTTCAAGGAAAATAAAGTTTCTAAACCTCAGACTGCGAGAGTGAACATCATGACAGAGAAAGTACTTTGTATTTTAATTACAGCAAAACACCATGGAATAACAGGGATCCAGCACCGCATTCGGGAGTCAGGGTTGCAAAATAAAATACAGGGTGACCAGTTGAATAGAAATTCAGATAAACCACAAATGATATTTTAGTATAAGCATGCCCAAAATGTTGCACGAGATATACTTATACCAAAAAAATTATTCATTGCCTATCTGAAATTCAAATTTAACTTAGTGTCTTGTATTTTTGTGGAATCTAGTAACTCTGGAGTCAGAACACCTGGATTTAAGCCCTGACTGGACAAGTAAACCATTTAACCTTTCTATGTCTCCATTTCCCCATCTGTCAAATGGGAGAAATAATACCAAAGGATGGCCTGGGGGTTATGATGAGGAACGAGAAATCCTTCCAAACCTATGGCATGCTACACAACGATAAGGTTTCAGTCCTCAATATGGGTGACTGAACACATTTTCCTCCTGGTGCCAGTTCTTTAGTCTCTGAGCCTTCAGTAGCCTATCTTTCCTTCGGAGTTTCTGGCTGTGCCTGTCTAAATCCCAAGCATAATCGTGTGATTGTCTTTGTATCCAGAGCAATGGCGTCAGGCCCCAGGTAGATGCAGCTTGACTGAAATTTAAGCCAGAATACAGGCACGTTTCTAAGTGATCGAGCTGATGAAACCATTTTTTTTAAAAAAAAGCTCCCATTTACAGCTGTGCGTGACAGAGCACGAGAGGGAACTGGTTGGCAATGAGTGATAGCCGATAAGGGACGAGGCCAAGACTCATTAAAATACTGGAGGAAGGCAAACTGTCTCCTGAAATGTGATAAGATCAGCCTGGAAATTTTCAGAAAGAAAAACTGCAGCCAGGCGCGGTGGCTCATGCCCGTCACCCCAGCACTTTGAGAGGCGGAGGTGAGAGGATTGCCTGAGTCCAGGGGTTCGAGACCAGCCCAGGCGATTTTGTGAGATCCCCGTCTCTGCAATTAAAAAAAAATTAGCTGGGCATGGTGGCACACGCCTGTAGGTCGGGCTGAGCCCGGCGGGTCGAGGCTACGGTGGCCGTGAGCGTGCCACTGCGCTCCAGCCTGGGCGAGAGTGAGATTCCAAATCAAAAAAAAAAAAAAGAAAAGTAAATAACATAAATTAGCCAGGTGTGGTAGCGTGCGTCTGTAGTTTCAGCTACTTGGAAGACTGAGGTGAAAGGATCGCCTGAGCCCAGCAGGTCAAGACTACAATGGCTGTGAGCATCCTCCTGCACTCAGTCTGGGCAACAGGGTGAGACTCCGACTCAAAAAACAAACAAACACAAACCAGAGGAAAGCAAAATGTCTCATAAAAAGTGATATGATCAGCCTGGAAATTTTCAGAAAGGAAAATTGACTGCAGAAGACTGCAGCCTTTCTATTACAAGTAGTAAACCTTTCATTAGACAAAGGCACTTAAAAAACCAATTGACTATGACCTGGGGAGGTTTCCATCAGAGACAGAACCTGGGCCTGTCTGGTCGAACAGATGTTAACTGAATGCTGACCACGCCCGAGCCAGTTTCTCCATTCTCTCAGTTAATCCAAACAATAACGGATAGAGCACCTTTATTTTGCAGAGAAGCTAAGCAGTTTGTTCACAGCTGCTTAGTGGTACAGCTGGGATTCAAACCCTGACCTCTCCACTACAGATTCTGACTTCACTGCACTTGGCCACCTGGATTCCCCGGCATCTATTTTGCTATCAGGTCCGAGATGGAATTACTTTCCCTTAAAGTGTCAACTGCCCTTGAGAACTGTGACCAGGCTCACCGACTATCATGAGAAAGTAGAGCAGCACTCCACAGCACTCTCTCTCAAGTCCCACTTAGGCACTCAGGCAAGTGAAAGGACAGGAGAGGAGAGGCAGGCTGCACAGTCATCACAAAGGGCGGAGGCTACAGACGTCTGGAAGAATCCCAGGGACAGATAGGCAGGAAGAGCAAACCGAAAACAGCCCCCTGAACATCCTGTCATATTTCCAAGGGCGTAAGTATGGCAGTGTGTGAGGGGAATGGTTTCCGCAGAAGTTCAGGACAGATGGCAGCTAGAAACAGAGAGAGGTTGGGCGTGGAAAGGTCTAAGCAGTTTAGGGGAGGTGCGTTTTGGAGGAATGAACATCAAGAACTAAGGCACCGCTTTCCACCAGAATAGAAAAATCATGAGGATTACCAAGCTATAGTCATCAAAAATTGACGCTCTAACCGGAGGTTTTCATGTCATTTCCAGGTTCTGGAATGTGTAGCTTGGATATCAAAATGTCTGTGTTTTGGGGATGATCTGAAGTGATGGTATGGGCATGCAGAGGAGAACTGGAGAGACTAAGAAATTTGGATTATCTTTGAAAAATCGGTAAGTTTTTGGTCACTCAAAAAGCATGACCTTTTAACACCCACAGGCCAGCCTTATGTGTTGTTCTAAACTAAAGCAAGGTTCCTGGAGGTAGTTAACTCAAATATGAAGGGAGATTGATAGCGTGTCAGACAACTTTGTGTGTGTGTGTGTGTGTGTGTGTGTGTGTGCTTGTCTGAGTCTCACTCTGTCACTCAGGCTGGACTGCAGTGGCTCGCTCAGGGCCACCATGGCCTTGACATGCTGGGCTCAGGCGATCCTTCCGCCGTAGCCTTCCAAGCAGCTGGAACCATGTGCATGCACCACCACACCTAGCTAATTTTTCTTGATTTATTGTAGAGATAAGGTCTTGCCAAGTTGCCCAGGCTGGTCTTGAACCCCTAGGCTCAGGCAGTCCTCTCGCCTCCGCCTCCCAAAGTGCTGAGATTACGGGCATGAGCCACCACGCCCAGCCAAGTGTCAGCAGACTTTGTTTGGAACTGGGGAAAAACTGCCTCTTTTTTTTTGGACATCGCGGCAGTTTCCACTCTTTTCCTGTTAGTGCTCTTCAATTGCTTGTACAGTAAGTTTTCTAAGGGTAGGGTGGGAGGTGAACTTCCTCCCAGGACTGGGAGCTGGATGAAATCTATGTGCAATGAGCGCCTCAGTCACCACTGTCAGAACTTGAGAGACAAATGAGAACAGGAGGAAAAAGGAGCCCAAACGCCACTGCCGCTATTTGAATTTGTAGCTTCAACCCCATAAAGGTACCTCCTTTAAGAGACAGGCTTGCTAGGTTTTGCAAGTTCTGCTGACTCTTAAGCTGCCCGAGAGGTTTATAGGGATGCATGTGTCTCCACTCAAAACAAATTCTATTTAAGTAAAACTACTGGCATGCACACGCAGTTAGCTAATACTGGATTTGAGAGTTCATGCCAAACTGGCTTTTGTCTGCATGTCTGCAGAAAAGAATCATATAGGCATCGTTTTTGCTTTTTTCTTTTGGTAAGAAAGCAGGAATTTATTGAAAGGACAGGAAAGCTCCCGGCAGCAGGAGGGGTCCCCAAGGGATGTCCCACTTTCTTTCTGTGATGAGCTTTTTATTGGTAAGCGAGGGACGACTAACCGCTCACTCTCAGTTCCACGCACGATCAAGGGCACACAGCTACGGCTCAAAGGCGGCAAGTGGGGAAAGGAAAGTGAGAGAGCGTGAGGACGAGGACGGCCTGTCTTTATTCAGCCAGAGTCACAGCTGCGTTGGAAGAAGGCTTGAGAGTTCAGCCCGGGGCCAGGCACCCGGAGGCCCCGGAGGCCACAGGAGCGTGGCAGGCCCGGCAGCGAGACGGTCAGTCGGCGGCAGTATCGCCGGGACAGAAGGCGACGCCCCCGCCGCCTCAGAGAGAGGTCATGTCGTTGAGAGCATGGTCCAGCTCCTCGCTGATAGCTTTGTACTTGAGCTTCTGAGCGTATAACTCATCTAGTGGGCGGAGGTCCCCAGGGAGGGAGAGTTCAGAAGAGGCACGGGGGACAGAACGCGGGGGTCAGGGAGGAGTGCCACGGATAAGCAACGAGAGGAAGAAAACAGAGTGAGAAACAAAGCATGAGCAAGAAAGTTGGGTCCCAGATACAGCAAATGAGCCAGACAAAAGACCTAGGGAGGGGTTTCTGTGTGGTGTGAGGCTCGGCAGGGGCCTGGCCGTAGGGAAGCGTTAAAAGAGCAGCGACTAGAAACAGACGCGCTTCCCAGCACCACCCCTGCCCCCTGGGGCTATTTCACATGTCCAGTGATGTCACATAAGCCAAAGGTGATGCTTCAGAACGGGACATTTTCCCCTACATGGAAATCTCACTTCCCAAGCCAAACACCAGGATACTTGGTCTGAAGAACGAGATTTGCATCCTTTCTGGGCAGGACAGGCAGTCTGGGAGGTTTTATTTGAACCCTCAGGTTCTGGAATTTCTGGCCTATGTCATGAAGAACAAGGGGCAGAATTTTAAAAATTTAAAAATTTCTCTTGAAATTCTGAGCTATGTGGGCACCAGACTTGCAGGCAACCAGAATCTTTATTCAGGCCTCTACACTGTGCTTCTGTTTTCTCATACTGTGATCCACTTTTGCGTTCTCTGGGAGAGAGTTTCTGTCAAAATGCAAGGCATTTGAAAAAAATGCAAGGCATCTCTCAGAAAGGAGCCAACTGAAGGAAATGCTAAGACTTAAAAAAAAAAAAAAAAAAAATCAGAGACAGCCACACTTGGGCCTCTGGACTCCCATGCAGAGCTAACTAAGCAGAAATCGTACTTCCTGAAAATGGCAACGTGTCTGAATTTGATTTGCACTATCCTATTCGAGTGCTCCAGACTTCCAGATGTGGTATCACTTTCCTTTCCCAGGAAAACAAAGCCTGGCACAACCCTCTACACATCTTTAGATGGTCATTACATACCTTCCAGGTCATCAATTGTCTTTTCCAGTTTTGCAACTGTTCTCTCTGCAAATTCAGCACGGGTCTCAGCCTGGGTAAGAGGAAAGGTGTTTACTACCACTGCTTCACGACCAGCCCCAGAGAAGCCTGACTAGCCAAGTGTGATCACACTCACCTCTTTCAGCTTGTCAGACAAAAGTTTAATTTCTTCTTCATATTTATCTTCCTTTTCAGAATACTGTGGGAGAAACCGAAACACTGCTTTAAGAAAGGGAGGGGGGAAATCATACAAGAAGGCAGGTTTCCTGTTCCTTGGAGAAAGTGTGGACATGAAGCACCATCGACATGTCCAAAAAGCAAAATAGAGGCAAGCACCTTTCCTGGCAGAAGCAACACGGGTGACAATACAGATCCCGTGGGGGACCCCGCTAGGATGGTACCCAAAGCCTGAGCTGATTAACTTGAGCTAAATGTGTGGTCACGATGGGACAGATGGCTGGAAATATGTGCTACTCAAAGCCCTACACAATAGTTGGCCCATCTGTGTTTCCAACCCTCTTTCCCACCAGCGTCCTCAAGGTGCTAGCCGCTCCCTGAGCACACTCAGTGGACTCCTGTCTCCCAGCCTCTGCCTGTGAGTGTGCCCTTGGCATGGATTTTCCTTTCCCCGTGGCTACCTATCCGAAAATATATTTGTCAGGCCGGGTGCAGTGGCTCATGCCTATAATTCCAGCACTTTGGGAGGCTGAGGCAGGAGGATCACCTGAAGCCAGGAGTTTGAGACCAGCCTGAGCAACATATAGAGACGTTGTCTCTATAAACAATAATAAGAAATTACATTTGTCTTTCAAGGCTCAACTCAGATTATTCATAACTGACATTTATGGTCCGGGCAAAATCCTTGGATTGAAAGAAATCATAATGGGCTGGGCGCGGTGGCTCATGCCTGTCATCCCAGCACTTTGGGAGGCGGAGGTGAGAGGACTGCCTGAGCCCAGGGGTTTGAGACCAGCCTGGGGAACACGGCAAGACCTCATTTCTACAATAAATCAAAAAATGAGCTGGGTGTGGTGGCACATGCCTGTGATTCCAGCTATTTAGAAGGCTGAGGCAGAGGGGTTGCCTGAGCCCACCAGCAGGTCGAGGCTGTGGTAGCTGTGAGTGTGCCACTACTCTCCAGCTGGGCGACAGAGTGAGACCCTGACTCAAAAAAAATAAAACAGTTCAAACAGGGTCAATGTCAGCCAGATATCCTTAATCCCATTTTATAGATGAGGAAAGGGTCACAGTAAAGGTTATTTGTCTAGGGTCACTGGGCTATTCAAAGCCATGCCTGGAGCCAGACTCTGAAATCTGTCCTCCTGGCCACCATCATATGCTTTTATTTTTTATTTTTATTTTTGAGTTGGAGTCTCGCTCTGTTGCCCAGGCTAAAGTACAGTGGCAAGCTCACGGCCACCACAGCCTCGACCTGCTGGGCTCAGGCGATCCTTCCACCTCAGCCTTCCGAGTAGCTGGAACCAGAGATGTGCACCTTTCCCAACTCTCCAAGGTCCCTCTACTGTCTTCCCAAGATAGCTCTTTGCTGCTCTGTCATCTCTCCCGCCAGACTAGCCTCAGAGGTGTCAAGAACAGAGGCTACATGTCCTCTACTGTTCTGCCCCGGGCAGTGGCTGTCATGCACATGCAGGTCACATTTATTCCTTACACAGTCTAGCATCAAGCTTGTGCCAGGTGTACACGAGCACTGGGGACACAGCTCTGAACACGGCTGATGTCTTGCTCCCTGTTCCAGCAAAGAAGGCTGGCCATCAGCTGGGTCATTATAATACATGTGGGAAACCATAAGGACGGGAAAACCAGACGGCACAGCACAGCAGGGAAACACCTAACCTAGAGGAGAAGTCTGGGAAGGTTCCCAGAAGAAACGATGAGTCAGCAGAAGCCTTGAGGATAACGAGGTTTCTCAAGCACAGAGAAAAGAAAAGGCCGTGCCTGGCTGAGTGGACAGCAGGCTCAAAGACCGGAAGTGAAGGGAGGGCCTGGAGTGCCTGCAACTGAAACTTAATCCAACTGCGGGAAGGAAAAGGAGGGTGAGGGAGTGAGAAGGCTGGGAACCCACGGGACCGAGCTGTGGCAGAGTGCATGTGGCTCTGAAGTCTGCCGCTGTGTTTTGAGATGGTGTTTCTAGAGGAACCAGGGGATGCAGATGAGAGGGAGGTTCTGTACTTTGTGACTGTCCTCAGGTCTCCCCAAGAAGAGCCTCATGCTTCATCTCATATGAGGTGGAGAAAAAGGACCCAAGAGCCTGCATGAGAAAATTCCAGCACTGGACAGCTCTTTCTGCAGCAGAAAAAGCCTGGCTGCCGGGCACCAAAGCTACTGTTAACACATAAGGTCAGATTCCTGATACCCTGGCGTGTTCTTGTGTCCCTTGGGGAAAGAAAAGAACAAGGTTGGCAAGCCACCGTCCAACTCAAGCCAGACACCAACCTTTTCAGATGCAGCCTCGAGTGATTTCAGGTTGTTAGTGACATTCTTGAGTTCTTCTTCCAGGTCACCACATTTTCTGCACAAAGACAAAGAATTTCTGGGTCCTCTCTTCCCTGACAGCAGGCAATCCCCCTTAAAATATTTTCCAAAGGAGAAACCCGTGCTGCCCAGAGGTCCCAGAAGGAATGTGCGAAAAAATGTGAATGGGTTTTTCTGAGCAGTGACGTTGTGTACTTATCAAAACCCGATCATACCAGGCAGAGGCGAGGCAGGCCAGGGAGTGTTTGGAGGGCTGGCAAAGCACTCCCGGGCTTCTGCCAAGGGTGAGGCAATGGGCACTTGTGAAATCTATGAGACAAGGTAGCCTCCAGAAGGTGCAGGCGTGAGATCACAGGCAGGAGGCTGGGAGGCACAATCGGAGTTTACCCCGGACACTTCAGGAAGGAGGCTCAGAAACCAGAACTCTCTCAGCACCACAGGAAGCTCTGGAGCTGAACTCCTCATCCAAGGCCAAGATGAGAGGCACCCTGTTTTTGGAAGCACGTGAAATCTGGGGCAAGCTTCTCACCTTTTCCCCAGGAATGTGTCGCGTCGACATTAACACCAGGAGCAAAGCATTTAAACACTGACCGGGCAGCCTGCCTTTCAAGGGACAGTGTTCCATTAGGGCACAGGCTCCTGAGACAGCCACTCTGGGAGAGTGGGGCTTCTGGGCATCTCTGCTGCCACCTGCCTCACTCCTATTTCCCAGTATTTTTATGGGAAGAGTCAACACATGGGCAGCGCTTCCAAAAGGAGTTAAGAACAGTTGCCATCTCTCTGTCAGCCATAGAGGCAAGGGGGAGGAATCCACCATGAGCCCCAGACGCCAGCCACGTGAGCAGGGGCCCTGGTCAGAATCAATTTACAAAACAGCCAGCTTCTTCCTGCTCCGCCCCAGGAGGTGAGCCAGGCCTGCTCAATCCTGTTCCACCACTCACAGTTCAGACACCTCCGCACGCTCCTCTGCCCGCTCCAGCTCGCCCTCCAGGATGACCAGCTTACGAGCGACCTGTAGAGACACAAAGGCCAACTGAGACCCATCCCACAGCCAGGAGGATGCCCTCCCGCGCAGATAGCTCAGCCCCACCCCCTGACCACTGCATCTTGGGGCTTTCTGTTGCTTGTTCAGCTCAAGTTGTCCTGGGACCTGGGGGAGATCCAGACTTTCTCTCAGGCCCCAGGAGTGAGGCAGACGAGGAGGGGAAGGAAAAGCTGGCCATGGAGGCCAGCAAAGGAGGGACTGAGCTTTCACGGTCTGAACATAGGTGGCTGGGGACCACGGATCTTAATTTTTGCCAAATGAGGCTGAAACGCCCAGCTGACAGGCTGACAGGCCAAACGTGAGCTGAGCAGTCTGCTTTCCCACTAGGTTAAACAAGTGTCCAAAGGTCTTCGTGACACTGTGGAAGACACAGTCTCTTAGCAAACTGGCTGCCTCTGGAAAAGCAGATGTGCACACAGAAGGGCAGCGGGTCTCACTTGAAGCGTCCTCCAGCGCCCGTGTCCTCCCCGCCACACGTGCTTCTCCCACCTCCCGCTGCGCCCTCGCCAGCCCCGCACCTCCTCGTATTTGCGGTCGGCCTCCTCGGCGATGTGCTTGGCCTCCTTCAGCTGCAGCTCCTGAATTTCCATCTTCTCCTCATCTTTCATGGCCCGGTTTTCTATCACCTTCATTCCTCTGCAAGAAGCAACCTCGTCAGGCCTGCCATCCGCAGTCCCCGTGGCCGCCGTTCACCGCCCCCGAGCCATCACTCACGCACACCCCCCAGGGCCACCATTTCCTCACAACCTCCCCCCCGGCTGCCATTCACCCACGCCCCCCATGGCCGCCGTTCACCCCACTCCCCACCCATGGCCGCCGTCCAGCCCCCTTCCCTCCCCTGGCCGCCGTTCACTCACACCCCCTCGCCCATGGCCACCCTTCCACCCATCTGTGCTCTAAATGCTCTCTGAATAAACCACACTGCAAAGGTGAATCTGCAGGCCCTGACAACAAGGCCCCGTGCACTTCATCTTCACTGAGCACCAGGCACTGTTGTCAGTGCCTCTTCACCTTCATAACTGCCCCATGAAGTAGGTACGCTAACCCATTTTAGAGACGAAGAAACCAAGCGCGGACAGAGGCTAAGCAACGTGCTCAGGGTCACGGGACGAGTGAGGGGCGGAGCTGGGATGCAGACCCGGCAGTCTGTGCTCTCCTGTGAGTCCGGTGAGCCTGTGCGCTCCTTCTCACTGCTCCCACGGACTGGCCTGAGGCGCACCTGGAAGCCAGCAGCTGCCACAGGGCGACTAGAGGTCGATGCCAGCTGGCTCTGGGAACGCTGAGGCACACTGGTGCCTCCTGCTAGTAGGAGCTGGAGGATGGGTCACAGAAGGTTTTCCAGGAGAGATGACACTCAGGCTGGGCATCCAAGGCTGAGAGGAAAGCCCGTGTGAATAGGAAGGGGAAGGATATTCTGTGCTGCGCAAGAAAGTCCTGGAGGAACGAGGGAACTCGTACACCTGGGAACCGGCAGGGAGGTCAGGGCACTGGGCCTGTACAGGTGGGGCTTGCGGGTGGCATGCCAGTGTTTTTTCTTTTTTTTTTTTTTTGAGTCAGAGTTTCACTCTGTTGCCCAGACTGGAATGCAGTGGCATGCTCACGGCTACCACAGCCTCGACCTGCTGGACTCAGGTCATCCTTTCATCTCAGCCTTCCAAGTAGCTGAAACCAGACATGTGCCACCATACACAGCTAAATTTTTGATTTGTTGTACAGATGGGGTCTTGCCAAGTTGCCCAGGCTGGTCTTGAACCCCGGGACTCAGGCAATCCTCTTGCTTCCGCCTCCCAAAGTACTGGGACAACAGGCGTGAGCCACCACGCCAGCCCCAGAGTTCTTAAGCAGTGGGGAAGAGGTTAGCGATGGGTGGACTGTGGCAAGAGAACCCGGTAAGAGAGAGGCATACCAACGAGACGAGGGATGAGGAGGGCCTGAGTTGGAGTGGACACGGCCAACTTGGACAGGACAGTATCCTGGGGATGCTGGACCTCTGCTACAGCTTGGCTTGCTGGCCAGGAAGTGACTCGCTCTGGGCTGCACCATAGGAGTGGCCTAGGTAAGATCTGAGACCTCCAAGGGAGAGGTTGGCCGGGTGTGGTGGCTCATGCCTGCAGCCCCAGCTACTTGGAAGCCAAGGTGGGAGGATCGCTTGAGCCTGGAGTTGGAGACCAGTCTGCATGATGTAACGAAACCCTGTCTTAGAAAAGAGGAGGCCCAGCCAGGATGATGTATCCTTGATGTGCGTCACTTCTCATTCCTGCCCAGCACAGAGAACCGTATCCTTTTTTTTTTTTTTTTT